CCCTAGACAATGTCTTACAGTTGTTAAAACAAAATATATGTAGTCATTTCTTGTTTTAGGTTAATTGGAATAACACCTACTATGGTTTCTTTAGGATATCAGGTATATGTTTTTCCTGCTTTACAGTTGAAGATAACCTGGCCTATACATGGTTTTGTACTAAGTTTCGCAATAGTTTAACGAATAAACATTATATGTTGATTAATCTAATTTTGTTACAACACACTTTTTTCACTTTTTTTTGACAAAGCTGATAAAATGTTCAGATCGTATTTCAGTCCTTTACAGACAGAATCATTGACAATTTCTCAGTAAACATTTCATCGTCAGGAAATATCTTGGTTGTTTTTTAACTGAACAGAATCCCTAACAAACGCCCAAAACGGCAAAATTGTAAATGTGAAAATGTTGCAAGCAGAATATATTAATTCGAAATGCACTATATAGGAAATAATGTACATATAATGACAAATGATCCTGTGACACGTATTACGAGCGTACAAATGTATTTAGAAATAAAATGTGAGGTATCTTTTTTATAAAACCAGTCTGATTTAAGATGTTTACATACAAAATGTTTCATCTAGAAAATGGCGAATGTTGTCGTTATGAAAATGATAAGTGTTTATTCTTTTAATTAATAGCTTCACTTATAAGTCATATTTTATTTTATATTTAATCTTTAAGTTATTATATTTTCATCTTATTTCATGATGTCATTAAATTATATTTTATTTACTTTACATATCGAGTGCATTCAAGGATTTTTAGTCAGTCAACAAATAAAGCTCATACTAGTCCTAAAACTTCAGTGTGTATCTAACATGTTCATTTTCTTACAAGCGAAAGTCGCCTGATATCAAATTCAAGTAATGCACGAAAATAATATTAAGGTAATAATATAATATGTACTCGTGTTTGAAATTATTATTTGATTAAATGCGATTTTTTAGCATTTATAAATTGATATTACTGACAAGGATGACGAGTTCAAATATACTGGTACCATTGTGCATCCAAGATATTTTTTAAAGTAATTTTGATAAAATTACATATAATGTTGCAATTTTCTCCCATGAGAACAGTTTGTCAAATATTTGCATGCAATTGTAGAATAAATTTAGGGATGACAGATTAAATGCTATCATTTTCTCAACATCAACTCCTAGTATCTAAAATGGCATCATTTCAAATTTGTTGTTAATTATGTGAAACATATTGACATTTCAGCTCCAATGGTTAACGATGTGTGATGTGTTTACGTCCTGTCTCGGAATTTGTTGATGTGCATGGTAAAAATGACACGATCAGTCTTTTTGGCCTTCTTAATGCCTTTATTTTGACGCAAGTTTGATTGTAATCAACATTCAAAATGGTTCAGAAAGTAGCGCTTGGTGAGTTTAACTTTTAAGGTATAACCTTATTGAAACATTCTCAAATACGTTACTGGAATTAATTAATACTGAGCAATTAATGCAGTTTCTTGCTTAAGGAAGCAACGGTCTGCCACTGACGGGGTTTAAACCCGGCAACCCTTAGATTACTAGTCCGACACGTTAACCACTCGGACATGCCGCCGTTTATATCAAAGGGCTATCTAAATAACCCAGGCGTCGGGGGTCATACTTTTTTTTTAATTTGTTCGTACCACACTACCTTTAATTCATTGCTTTGACTTTATAACCGTCATATAAACTTTTAAGCAAGATGATATAACTATGTGATGAATTTATGCACAAACTATACCACTTTGAGGTATTACTTTGAAACATTAAATGCCTGCAACTAAGCGTCATACCCACTTCCGGACAAAACGAGGTAACTTTTTCAAGAATTTTGAAAACATTTCCCGCCTTTATCAAAATAAAATTTGCCACTCCTCAAATTTCCTATATCATTTGAGATGCTCCTTGGAAATGTTAAATACTTGCTGGTATCGCGACTTGTTTTTTTCCTGAAATCAATTACTGGTGATTGTCGAGCGCATTGCCATACGGTTGGCTCTTGTTATTACAAGTGGTCTTAAACATCTTTAAATAATCGTTAATATTGTTGTAATTTCAGACGTAGCTCAGTTTAAGACTGACACTAAATGGATGAAATTAGATATTTAACGTCAAACCACCCACAGATTATTTTATGATTATTCTATTGGTGGCTGATTTGGTACATTGCGAGTTGCGTTGTCGATAGCGACAACGCAACCTATAATGTTATCCCCTTTTCGTCTTGTCGCTAGCGACCACACAACATTGAGCCAAACGACGCTTTGTCGCGTAGTCGTTCTGTCTCTAGCAAAGCACACAAAACGGCGCGTTGTCGTGCGGCGCGTTGTCACGTTGTCGCTCTGTCGCTTGGCATATAAGCTAATCCTTCGATTTGAACCGAGCGACAATGTGACATCGTGACTACACGCCGACAACGCGCCGTTTGGCGTACATCGTTAGCGACAGGACGACAAGACGAGAGTCTGACAGTGCGCTGTTTGGCGCTTTGTCCTCCTGTCGCTGGCGCCAACACGACGCACATAAGCGATCCAAATCAGCCACCATAGATTACGGTATATGTATATTATGATGAAATATTAACAAAAGTGATAATTTTTTTTCCTGTCAATGTGAAGTATTTTCGATGAGAGCAGACACGTAACAAGCTATGGTTTGCAATATTATAATTATTCAATGTACTTTTCTTGCAACAGTTGCCTAAGGACTCAAAGAAAGAATAGAATATAAGGCTACCTGAGTTTATAAACTGTCAATCGAAGATGAAAACCCATTTAGCATCCAACACATACGGATGTACTTGAGATAATTACATCATTACATCTGACCTTTCAAAGCAAATAGTCAGCTTTTCAGTTGGCGTCTGCGTATTAACATTATAGACGTTTCATACATCTTGACCTTATCATTATGCTGTTCTTCAAACAATATATGCTGCGTGTCATTAAAGTTCGTATATTTAGGTATCTCCCTCTGCCATTATATTTCTGGCTCTAACGGAGATATGAAGATGTATGTGTTTTGTTTCTGTTTTCATTATTTGTTTATTTGATTCGTCCCTTGTGAAATGAATTCATGTTTCTTTCAAGAATATATAACAATGCTTCTTTCAAGAAAATATAAAAACACTATTTAATGGAAGCTTTAAAACCATAAAATGTTTTCTTTACAATTGTGTCTTTGTTTTCTGATTTATCTTTAAAAAAAACACTTTCATCGAATGAAAATTAAACCTGCCTGAATAATAAAACGTAATTACCCCTATGAATAAACACAATTGATGCAAAAACTTATTTTAATGATCATAAATTCAGAATCAATGCCAGTGCTTTTACAAGTTGTAATACTAAAATGACAATTACGTTAAAACGTCAATTCTATCAATATCGGTTATAAAAAGTTTTTTTTTCAAAACAATAAATATGTATAATAATCTTTCCTCACGACAAATACACAACTCGAGACTGGCGCTTCAGATAACCTAATAATACGAGGGTGCATCAATTAATTCGTAAACTAATTCAATAGCGGGGAAATGATTTAATTCAAGTACCTAAAATGATAACTCATGCACGATTTGCACTTGTCCAATCTCTCGACCCATGACTCGAACACGTGTTGTAGCCCGTCACGTGACATCTGCCGCAGTTGCCTGTCCGCGGCACACCTCAGTTCCTCTCTTGACTCAAATTTCGTACCACAAAGTCTGATTTTTAAAAGTGGGGAACAGCCAGAAGTCACAAATTGCTAGGTCCGGGCTGTAGGGTGGGTGCGGTAACAGTTCGACGTCGAGTTTTTCTAGAGTATCAATGTCAACGTGGCTTGAATGGCTCGGCGTGTTGTCATGATGTAATATGGTTCCGGACCTAAGTAGATGTGGGCGCTTTCACCTTATTGCCGCCATGAGTTCCGTTCTAAGTGTCACGGTTCGGAACTGTTCACTATTTAGGGGAAAAGATGTGTAAGCGGACAGATAGAGCCGCAGAACGGTATTCCGAGGGTCCCGGGTTCTGGTCCCGGTCAGGCTGCACATTTTTTTCACACTGTGACATTTGGCGCCCAACTTGGAGCCGTGACTGGATATAGATTAGAGTTTAATTTACATTGCTCTGTAACACTGTGAAATTCGAGGACGAATTTCAATATAGCTGGGGAGAATGTCACGGTTCAGAACTGATCACTATTTAGGGGAGAAGATGTTTAAGCGGCCAGATAGCTCATTCGGTACGGTTTTTCGAGGGTCCTTTGTTCGAGTCCCGGTCAGGATGCATATTTTCTCACCCAGTGACATAAGTAATGTTGCATTAAAAGTTTCAAGTGATTGTCGTTTTCGGAGGAACATAGTGGTTTAGCACTACACCATATGTATTACAGAATATAAGGGCCATAACCTTCCCGGCTGACTTGAAAATTATCGCTTTTGTAGGGGAAGGCGAGGAATAATGCTTAGAGACAGAACTCTGACGTTTGCTTTCAGGTTCAAAAAAGTGAATCCACGTTTCATCACACTCCATTTAGAAAGTAATCCCCTTTTTCACGATACCTCCTGTCGTACTGCTGACACATTTTCACCCTTACCCCCATCTGCTCCGACGTCAAAAAACAAGGCGCATTCCTAATCTAACAGTTGTAATGCCCTGAGCTCTACTATATGAAATAGCGAACTTATCTGCTACGTGCTCCACACTTACTCGTCTATCTCGGAGTATGTACTTCTGTGGGGGCGTCCGTGGCCGAGTGGTTAAGATCGTTGACTTCAAACCACTTGCCCCTCACCGCTGTGGGGTCGAATCCAGACAGGGACTTTGGATTCTTTCATGTGAGGAAACTATCCAGCTAGCTAACGGAACGTCGGTGGTTCTACTCAGGTGTCCGTTCGTGCCTGAAATAATACACGGAAGGGCACATGAGGTCTTCCTCCACCAGTAAAGCTGGAACGTTGCGATATGACCTATACTGTGTCGATGTGACGTACAACCCAATAAAAAAATGTACTCCTGAATGGCAGCCACTGTTTCTTCATCTGTTAAAGTCACTGGTCTACCTACACGACTGTCGTCTTCAATTGCCTCTCTACCGTCTTTCAATCGCTTCATCAACGTTGAAATGGCACCTTTTGACAGAGCAACCTCTCCGTAAACTTTTTGCAAATCTTCACGAATATCGGAAAAAGACTTTCCGAATTTTGTGTAAAACTTTATAACGATGTGCTGTTCTTTGACGCTGTTTGACGTCATTTTCAAACGGACGCCCGTAACGTGACGTCATTAACGGTTTATGACGTCATAAGTATTGACGTCAAAATTATGTGCATAGTACGATTCAATTTGAAATAATTTGTTTTCACAGCATTTTTAATTTAAACGGAACAGTAGTTTTGACGCTATTGAATCAGTGTGGCAATACCACGTGACATTGATGAATTTTCGGCATCATTTCCAAGACAAATGTTGCTCGATTCGGAAAAGACAATAGCCGTAAATATTTTATTTTTGTACCAATTTCTTTGAGGTATGCACCAGTCTACGGGGAAAAATATAAGCTTTCCACAGAATATTGGATCTTCGTCAGTTTATAAGCCGTTTTATCAAACACTTTGCATAACCTTGGAAGTTGCTTGTATTAGAGCGGGCTTCAGTTGCAAGCTATTTCGTTTTCTGGCGTTATCTGGTCTACGTCATGATTAAAAAGTCAGCCGGGAGTACGGAAGGCAAAACTCTACCTAAATATGTTCATATTTTTATTATGAATGACATAAATCTTACCCTTTTCTTCAATTGTCAATTCTGACACCAGTTCCAAGTCGAAAAAAAAAAGGACTACAGTTTAAAGCAGATTTTAGAATCCGTTGCAAATGCAAAGCAACATGCCTACCGTTCTCTTTCTATAATTATGTTAACCATGAAAAACATTTTATTTACTATACGATTCACATAAACACAAATGAATATTTAAATGATTTTTACTCGCTGCGCTATAAGTGATTTTAAAAGTCGTAAAATTGTTGTCTGCATTTGTAAAGAAATTGACTGTGATCGATGGCTGTTAGTTTTTAAAATCATTTATCTGTTTACTATTTTCTACTTTGTTTACTCCACATGGCGTCCATTCTCGTTCTTATTCATGGCTATTTTGGGTCTTTTTTATAAATAGAGAATCACAAGTAATGCAACTAAGTAACAATACTATCAGATTTACACGGCAAAGTTCCAAGTTCAAATTGTGATTTCGTTTATCAAACTCTATAGAAATTTATTTATTATTTTATTACAACAGTTCCAGAAAAAATATATACCTTTTAAAAGTCTCTCTTTTGAGGACAGAAGAACCTATTCGTCACATTCACGAGTGTCAGTGTTTGTCAGTTACTCTTTACAAAAATAAACTGAAAAAATACATTTAGCTTTACAACACTCGCGTTAAAGTGTAACCCTTTCCATAGCATACAAAAGTGTTTTTTCTTTTATTTTAACTCTTTCTCTCACCGAGAGCACATACATTTTTTATCAATTTCGCCATTGTGAAATAGAATAAAACACATTTTACTACATAGGATAAAATGAGCAATACTTTAAACATCTTCAAAACCAAAACATAATATTATTTTCCGCAGGACTAAATCTACGTGATTTGACGTGCACTATTGCGATACAAGTAAGTGTTATTGCTTTAAGGAACAATCATTTTTTCACAATCTCTCTGTGAAAGATCAACAATGAAAAACTAAATTGTAGAAAGAGAACGGTAGGCATGTTGCTTTGCATTTGCAACGGATTCTAAAATCTGCTTTAAACTGTAGTCCTTTTTTTCGACTTGGAACTGGTGCCAGAATTGACAATTGAAGAAAAATTTAAGATTTGTGTTATTCATAATAAAAATATGAACATATTTAGGTAGAGTTTTGCCTTCCGTACTCCCGGTTGATGTAAACCTGACATATAATCATGACGTAGACCAGATAACGCCAGAACACGAAATAGCTTGCAACTGAGGCCTGCTCTAATACAAGCAACTTCCAAGGTTATGCAAAGTGTTTGATGAAACGGCTTATAAACTGACGAAGATCGAATATTCTGTGGAAAGCTTATATTTTTCCCCGTAGACTGGTGCATATCCCAAAGAAATTGGTACAAAAATAAAATATTTACGGCTATTTTCTTTTCCGAATCGAGCAACATTTGTCTTGGAAATGATGCCGAAAATGACGTCAATGTCACGTGGTATTGCCACACTGTGAATTAGTTTACAAATTTATTGATGCATACACGTAGTTCCACTTTTGACGGCCCCTAGAACTGGCTTTAGCAGAATTCAACATTTTACATGAAAATTAAAGTTTAATTTTTAATTCAGCTTCATCATCTTTAGTCTTTCTCACTTGGAATGTTTGTCACTGCTTATTGCAGCATTATTGTTCAAATTTTCAACACACTCCAATTAATACCTGGGTGACGAGAACGAGTATAATAGATTACTTGGTCTGTCCTTATTTGACTCAAACCCGGACATCTTTCTTGCAATACACGTGACCTTCTACTGGACCACGGCTCTACATAACATATGTATCTACATGTACTTCTTTGCAACTATTGCTTCATTTTAAAGATGTCAATGACGTTTGCTTGTCAGACCATCTTTCAGTTACTTTTATTTGTGAAATATACAACAATTATCTTTATGTTGTCTAATACCTCTGTGTATTATTGTGCTTATATCATATATGCATTTTATGAACAGGCACAATCAAACCGAGCCTGCAACATTTTCAATTTTGCCGTGTTGGGCTTTCTTTAGGGACTCTGTATTTATCTATTTTATATTGTTTTATCGACGCCAAGATTGTTCAGTATGAGAGCACAAGGGAATGGTTAACATTGTCTGGCCATCTTATTTATTCCGTGATTTACTAGTTCAAGGCGAACTATTCTGAGCAATTTAGATAAAAAGCTTTGAAGCTATCACTAATAATTACGTCAATATTTGTTCAAGGCATTAAAGCCATGACATAAACTTGCTAAATCAGTATCTACCGAATTCAAGTAAATATTGAGTACATGAATACCTAATGTAACAATATACATTCATTATTTTTGCAGCACGTTTTTATACGGCCATCAGATATTAGAATTGATGGATACATTTTTTAAGTTGTATTTTTTACTTAAATATAATAAACATATCATTTGAAGGCAAACAAAGGTTTAGAAACCAATGACTTAAATTTGTTGTCGAAATCTGAGATTTTATAGCAATATATTATAACTAATTACTATAGTTGTCTATCACTTTTTAAAGGTAAAGTACATAAAGATTTGAGCTGCTTGTATAGTAGGCGTTGCTGTATCGTGAATATTACAGTGGGTACTCTGTAGATACAAAACGACATAACATCACATTTAAATTTCAACTAAATCGTATGTCATAACATTACTTATGTCGGTAACTAAATCGTATGTCATAACATTACTTATGTCGGTAACTAGATCGTATGACATAACATTGTTTATGTCGGTATGTATTCATTTGTGTGAAAAAGTTATTCTAATTAGACTTGGAATGTAAATTATTATCCAAACTATATCGCTATTTATTTCAGCTGCATACTAGATATAATCACTAGAAATAAAACGTTTTTTTTCAACTAGGATTTGTTATTATATAAATAACAAATGGGTTTGTGGGTAGCAGTTAAAATATCATCCCGAGGAAATACTGTTACCCGAGGCGTAGCCGAGGGTAACAGTATTTTTACGAGGGATGATATTTTTACTGTTACTCACAAACTCATGTGTTATTTATTTTATTACCCCGAACAAAAATACTGAGATGATCTGAAATTGTCAACTAAATCTAACTGTAACAAAAATATACCAAGAGTAACAATAACAAAACTGTCCTTACCTTTTAAGTTTTAAGTGTACTTTAGGCCTACTTGAAAAGTTTTCTTTTTCTTTTATTCTTTAAGCAAGTGATGGTATCTACAATTCATAAACATACAATAAGCTAGGTTTTATTTAGAAAACAAAACACTAACTCATTTACACGGTTATGATCTGTGAAATCTGATCCTTCTGTTTCCAGAATATTCTTAGCATGGTTTTGGACAAAATAACGATGATATCCTATGTCTGTCCACCATATCTGTAACGTTTCACTGATTAAAATTGTTAAATAATCCTTTGTTGCATGCTTAGATCGTCTGCATGTTCCAGTTTGACACATAATTGTTTACATTGCAATTACTTCCGTTGAAAACGGATGTTCACTTTTTGACTATCCAACAAAAAGATATTTTATACGCGAAAAGCACACCAGGGTGCAAACAACTAAATTTTATGAGTGTCATAGTTACTCCAGAGAAGAAATTGATGTCGTGTCGGGGTTTAACGTTGAAAATAAGAAGGAATCGAGAAAAAAATGGCGGCCATTTTATTTCATTTTATTTAGAAAATAGACCACGTGACCAGATTTTATACTGTTAAAAATCCTGTTACCTATGTAACAGTACAAAATTCTTAGTCACGTGGTACACTTGCATCAACAGTGAAAATAACTCCCAGAGGCCTATGGGAAATTAGCATTACGAAAAAAGTGAGGGGTAATAAAACGCAATGCGATAAAAACGAGGGGGGTAATTGTCTTTGATACAGATAAGATGCAGCTCTCTCACTGAAAGTATGGTTTGTCGTTACATCTGAGGATGTATCTAAATTTAAAACTTTACCATGTTGATGTTAAAATGTTGAAAATTCTGTTCAAGTCGGTGCTAGGGGGTGTGGACAGTAACTTGCACTTTCCAGTATAGGCTCAATCAAACCGAGATTGCAACGTTTTCAATTTTGTCGTTTTGGACGTTCTTTGGGTTCAGCTGTTAAGAAGAGAAAATAATTAACTATCATGTTACTGCAAGAAAAGACAATATACATGGACAGTACTTTCAGACAAAATTATATCTGACTTGTAAAAACATCAAGCTCTTAATTAATACATCGTTTTACTCGAAAGTTATAGCATTATTTAAATACAAAATGTATATGTGTTTCTAATCAGCCCGGTAGGCTGTTTGTTTCTATCTACAGTAATGAAATAATGAATGACTATTATTGGTTGGGTTTTCATTCAATTAAGGTTAATACGCACAAAATCCCTTTATTGTTTGCGTTATTCGTCACACCAGCGCAGTATTAGTCATATGGCTTTTCTTTTTGTCTAGCTTTACTGATGCAGGAAGACGACA